CTTCCTCCAGACTCCAGACCTTGATTTCCAAATGAAATGCAAAATTTACTTTTATCTGAAAAGAGGACTTTGGAGCACTGAGCAACAGTCCGGTTCTTTTTCTCCTTAGCCCAGGTAAGATGCTTCTGACGTTGTTTCTGTTTCAGAAGTGGCTTGGTAGCCCTTTTCCTGAAGCTGTCTGAGCGTGGTGACTCTTGATGCACTGACTCCAGCTTCAGTCCACTCCTTGTGAAGCTCTCCCAAGTGTTTGAATCGGCTTTGCTTGACAGTATTCTCAAGCTTGCGGTCATCCCTGTTGCTTGTGCACCTTTTCCTACCCATTTCTTCCTTCCAGTCAACTTTGCATTTAATGTGCTTTGATACAGCACTCTGAGAAAAGCCACCCCTTTCAGTAATGACCTTCTGTGACTTACCCTCTTTGTGGAGGGTGTCAATGATCGTCTTCTGGACCATTGCCAAGTCAGCAGTCTTCCCCATTATTGTGGTTTCAAAGAACAAGAGATACCCGGAATTTATTCTGTAGGGATGGACATTTAATGAAACTCAAATGTAAATATTCTAATATTTTGAGATACTGGATTTTTGACTTTAATGAGCTGTAAGCTCTAATCAAAATTAAAACTAAAACATTTTTGAAATGTTTTACTTTACATGTAATGAATCTAGAATATATGAAAGTTTCACTTTTTAAAATAAGTTACACAAAAAAAAGAACTTTCACAATATTAAAATTTTTTGAGATGCACCTGTACGTCATAAGTCAAGTAGCATTTATTGGTTTAAACAATACACATGCTTTACAACATACAAAAAGCTTTACAGTAATAAACAGGAAACTAACAGTAATGTTCCAAAAATGCAAAGATTTTGAAACCAATTCAATTTATACTGTAAAGCAGCTCTACAATGACAACAGTGTCATTATTCAACTCTAAGATTCACAAGGCGAACAGGGTTATATTTTTTCTACAACCACAAAAAAAATCTATTTTTCTTTAATTCAGCCAGAGCTAGTTGCTGAAGTAATTTTTATTCAGTTTTCCTTAAATGTCATTGACCAGAAGTCCAGCATAGGTGGAAATCTTTTAATTTATTAAACATAAAAATGTAAATACTATTTACATCTACTACATTCACTTACTATTATAATTTAATAATATGTTATTTGTTTTAAAATTTTGAAATAATGAAACAGACAATTTAACAATACTTGGACAGTTTACAAAGGAGAGCAACCAATGCTACCTAAAAAATACATGAAGTTTAGTTTTTATTACATTTTAGAAAATTCAGGGTTTTTCTGTCTTGTGGACTATATATAAATATAAATAGTGCAGCTTCAGAATATTATATTTATTAATATATTTAATAATATTTCATATTGAATAAGTATTTAATAACAATCATCTAGATTCTGCAAGGAGTTTGTAAACTTATGAACGGCTCAGATCAGAAAACAGCATGTGTGTGATCTCTCATCTTTACCTCATCAGCGAGACGGAGCAGCATGCGTAGAAACCGCCCCAGATGGCCCTGACGGGCGGACAGCTCTCCCCGGCCGGAGTAATCTGTCCTGTACAGTGCAGTAGCGCTGTCTACTATCAGCAGAGCGTATCTGGACAGAGATCAGGATATTTCAACACATGGAGCCTGCAGTCAATTTCTGGCTGGATGTGTGTGAGTTACCTGGACTCAGTCATCATAGCGGAGGCCTGATACAGCAGCTGTGTTTGATGGTCCGTGTTGAAGGCTCTGGCATGCATACGCCACGTTATCCAGCACATCACTGCCCACCAGCCCGTACCTGACACAGCAAACACACAGTTCATTTCTGGTGTTAAGCACACAACAGATAAAAAAAAAAGCGACTCTGACCTCTCAAGTTACAGCCAGCAGTCTCTCTGGACGGAAGGTTCCTTCGGTGTCGATGTACATGGCTTTTCCTTCTCCACCACCCTGATCTATGGGTGTTTACTATATACATGCTATACAATAGCATTTATTGTACCCTTATAGACAGAAACAGAATCTAAAAAAATGTGCATATGTAGTATAATTTGATACATCAGGCTTTTATACTGTGATAGTGGAGAATATGTATCTCAAACCTAAGGAAAAAAACACTTCAGTTTTATTCAGAGGCCCAAACTTAACAAAAATATGCAAGTTGGTGCAGCTGATACTATTTATATGACCAAAAATTAAGATGAAATTCTAATAGCTTGTAATGTAAATCAATGAGATCTTTGTAACAGTAATGCAGACTACTACATAAAATGCATATAAATATCAGTTGTCACTATATCTCCAAGTAATGTTTTAGTAAGATGAAATTTAAATGCTTAGCTTTATGATCAAAAAACAGTTTCAAAACGTATATTGTAATGCAATACAATGATGACTGAGAGATGAACAAATAAACGTTCCTCAAAAGCCTGATGGACGATATTTGATACTCCCATTTAACATGATTTAAAAAAAATATGATTTATGGATAATCAAATAAATTTAGGGCTGCTTCAGTCTAGTAAATAGTCATCTTGAAATATAACTAACAATATAAAAGATTTTCTTTTGTTTATTTTATAAAAATCTGTACATTTCACAAGCAACGTTTTTATGTTTTTAAAGTCTCTTATGTTCACCAAGGCTGCATTTATTCCACCAAAACACAGTAAAATCAGTAATATTGTGAAATATTAGTACAATTTAAAATAACTATTTTCTATTTGAATACATTTTAAAAAGTAATTTCATTCCTGTGATGCAAAGCTGAATTTTCAGCATCATTACTCCAGTCTTCAGTGTCACATGATCCTTCAGAAATCATTCTAATATGCTGATTTGCTGCTTAAGAAACATTTCTGATTATTATCAATGTTGAAACAGCTTCATATTTCTGTAGAAACCGAATATATATAAAATTCCTTTATGAATAGAACATTCAAAACAGCATTTAATTGAAAAAGAAATCTTTTGTAACATTATAATCATCTTTATTGTCACTTATGATCAATTTAATGTGTCATTGCTGAGTTAAAGTATTCATAAAAATTTTTTTTACCTGGCAGGTAACGGCCAGTGTGTGACACAGCTGCGTCTTTCCTGTGCGAAACTCGCCGAACATCTCAGTGATGGATCCCGTCTCGATTCCTCCTGCACAACACAGACAGACAAAGATTCAGTCAGGTGATTATAGCATATAGCACATTATTATCTGACAGACAGTTCAGTTTAGTGTCGCACCCTGCAGGAGTTTATCAAGCTCTTTGGATCCTGTGGAGATCTGGATGATCTCAGCTCTGCGCTGGTGGAACTCAGTCGCTGTGGTGAAGCCCATGGGTACCATCTTAGCCGCCTCCGTCTGTTAGTTAAAGAATTCAAAGTTTGCTCACATCACTAACACACAGAATCAGCGATAGCAAAGGTGACCAAGGTCTCACCAGAGTCTTGTCGGCTTTGGCTTCGCTGATTCCTTTGATGTTCAGCAGCTCTTTCTTTGGCGCAAAGGCTACAGCCTCCACGGTGTGAAAACCACCATCCTCCAGCTTCTTAATGTCGCTGCTGCTGATGCCACATTGCTGCAGAGGTTTACAACATCAGCACCATGAAAAGACATTCAAAGAGCGTTTGTGTTTCTATCTGCATCGGCAGTCGTACCTCCAGACGTGAAACCGGTTGTGGCCCAAAATGTTCTTCCTCTTCACCTCCTGCCTCCACCCGGGACGCATTCCTCATAGCCATATTTACTGTTTCATAACACATGACACATTATCAGCTTCACAATCTGAGTGAAAAGTTGGTGGAAACATTTGGGTCGCACTGTTTGTTTACATCTAAACCAAACACTTAACGTACATAAGTTAGTTCTAAAGGAATGCATTTAGTAAAAACACAAAATTAGGATTCACAACACTCATCTATATAAATATAGTTCAGTGGTTCACACTCTGATTGACAATTATTGTTTTAATGACTTTTCCAGAGGTCTGTAACCATTAGATCAGTATTTACAAAAAAATAGCTGAACAAAACACGATATTATACATGTCTGGACATGTAACAGTTAGCAAAGTATCATTTGAAACATCAAGGTATATCAATACATTGACAACCCTTACGTTGATGGTATCAGATGGTAATAATACCACAGTATTTTGATATATAGCAGAGTTTACATGGCATTCCAAAGAATACCGTGGTACTATTAAAAGTACCATGGTATTACAATCGGACAGTGTTTTCTAAGAATCAAAAGGACAATCGGCAAATGACCTAAACAAAAACAACAATTATTTATGAGTTCATTGCTAATAATGTGGGACATTAATTTATTAATCAGTCTGATAATGCGTTAGAAAAACCGCAGAACACACACAAACATCCTATCGAGCTCTAATCGACACACACAATGTAAAGTCCTCAAACTTGTTCTCACACTAAAAGTCATATAAATGTGTCAAAATAATCATGTAGAAGTGCAATTATTTCGTTGATTAAATCTTTAATATCGTGATTATTGTTTTGTCACTCACCCGCAAAGCTGCAGCTCCTCAGTCTGAACTTTCCCGCGTGCCGCCGTCAGGCCACGTCACCGACGTCATGACGACATCACGTCATCGATCTTTCATAACATCATAGTCTGTACAAAAATTTTTAAAAATCATAATCTGTATTCAAAATCAAGTTCTTCCACCTACATTAACTCAAGGATTGATAACATTGATTCGAAAACCAAGAAAAGATCCACTGCTTTTAGACAATTGGAGACCTATTCTATTTCACTATTAAACAATGATTATACGATTTTTGCCCTGACATTTGCAAACAGAATAAAATCAATTATGGACCCCCTTATAGATGAGGCCCAATCTGGCTTTTTAAAGAAAAGGCATATTTCAAATAACATCAGGCTAATTTTTAGAATTATTGGGTTACTCTCATTTATGTATTGATGATGGATTTATTCTTTTCTTAGATTTTTGTAAAGCCTTCGACACAGTGGAGCATGCCTTTATTATTATTATTTTTTTTTCAGAATTTTACAGTTCTGTTAAACTTAAAGGAGGTTCATCTTCAAGGTTCCCTCTCATTGGCTCACTTTGCGCGTGGAGACGCCTGCCCGATGTTTCACGATGGGTACTACGCACCATTCGACACGGTTACACTATCCAGTTTTGGAAAGGGCCACCTCCTTTCATCGGGGTTCTTCCTACGACGGTACGTCCTGGGGAGGCCTCGATTTTAAGTCAGGAGATTGTGTCACTCCTAGAGAAAGGAGCTATAGAGGAGATACTCCCCACTCAGATGGAGTCAGGCTTCTACAGCCGGTATTTTGTTGTGCCCAAGAAAGATGGTGGTTTACGTCCGATTTTGG